TCAATAAATTGATAACAATTACTTTCCTTTCACTCAAAATCACCCAAAATATATTTTCTGTCAAATTACTGAATACGTTCCCCAGCAATCTGACAACGTTAAGAAAACAGTCATTCTGATTGTGGGACAATTCCAAGGCAATCACTGGTCCTGTGAACTCAACACAACTGGTCCACGAGACATGAAACTGCCTTCCACGAGACTAATTATTTCTGTAACTGTTATTTTCGTACAGTGAAGGTCATTTATTTACACTGAGAGTGGGAGAAACTATAAAATCACTGCAACAAATCAGCAAAAGTTCTTCCAGAAAAAGTGTCCTTGTGGATTTCCTTCTCGGTACACACCATGAAAATTCCTTAATTCGCCCAGCTTCTTTTCGGCTCTGCTAGAGGAACAGATGAGGTAGAAGAATACTTTGAATTGATTATCTATCACTTAAATGAGCTCAAGAAGGACCTGGTGTTGAAGGTTGTAAAATGATGATGGATTTGCTATGACCCATGACAAGACAGAGATGTATTCTTCTGAAACACTGTACCTTTTATCAAAGGCTTATCTAACAAACCACACAAACAAATCTTGCAAATTCAAACTGAAGAGCCATTATGCCCACAGATGCTTGAGAAAAAAGTCCACAGCAAGCAAATTTTCACCAGATTAAGACAACACTTAAAGCCCACAAATTCAATTATAAATGCCACTCGATGTAAACAAGTTGAATTTGTGTAGAAATCAATCAGCATCAAAACAGAAGGTAACATCCCCTGATGAATGGCTTCTTTCTATAATTAACACAAATATTCTGCCCACTTGGAACGTGTATGTTTGAATGTAACAGACAAGAATGGATATCTAATGTTAAGACATGATAACCTAACAGCTGACATGAATGACTGATCTCACAGTTCCTCACCAAACTCTGTAGGGCAAAATGCTACCAAATACCCCCAAAAACATTTGCTTAAGAGAACTATATTCTCAGAGTAAACGCTCAATATGTCATACAGGCTCTGAAACAAAAATATAAAACAAATCCTGTGCAAGCCATAATAGTTTTGCAAGTCTAGATTTTTATTTCGGTTCTTCACAGCGCCTCTCAATTGTATATTAATGAAAAAAAGGCTAAATATATTCATTTCAGACATACTATTTAATCTTTCACTCAATGCTCGTTTAAAAACTTGACCACATGAGTGAGTGAGTGAGTGAGTGAGTGAGTGAGTGAGTGAGAGTGAGTGAGTGAGTGAGTGAGTGAGTGAGTGAGTGAGTGAGTGAGTGAGTGAGTGAGTGAGTGAGTGAGAGTGCATTGGATTTAACACCGCTTTAAACAGTATTGCAGTTATATCACTATGTGTGAGCTTAATGTAGGAGGTACCTGTGGCCCCTGAAAATGATTATCAAAAGAATTATATAAATTTGTGTTTTAATCACAGCAACTTGTTTATGAAATCATCACTATATTGTCTCAAGGGCATCTTGAGACCATTCTAATAAATATTTTCGTTCTCACTGCAAGTTCTTTAGCAATCAAATCAAAGAGCATTTCATTTTCTTGCTTTATCTCTTTGAAGCTAGCAATGAAGTTACCGATGAAGTGGAAAGTAGGGAATCAATGGAATAACACATTCTGTAATCACTGAAACAAACCAGTCAAGCTTGGTTTTTCCCAAACTTGAAACACACACAAATATATTATTTATAACCATGTGTAGATCACGATCAAGATGGTTATTTGGAGTGTCCTTCATATTGGAGTTTCACATTTATTCCTGTACCTTTAAATCAATGTGCCAGATGTGTTCTTGATATATGCAATGAAACTTTATCATTGATACTGGCTCTAAATTTGCCATGACATTGATGTTTAGAATTTCTGTTATGGATTGATTAGCAAGCTCTTCCACGTGTAAGCTTTTTCCACAAGGTGATAATTCTGGTGGACACAAATGCACAGTTTGTCATTGAGCAGAGGCTTTTAGCAAATTACTAATCAGCATTAACTGCAGGACATTTCCAGTTGTCAAGCAATCACACTTCCAAAACGATAGTGATATCAAAACAAATAAATCAACTTATTCAAAACTGATAACTTGTCGTCTTTACTCTGAGGCTATCCCTGTCATTTTATGCATGAGACACCAGGTGTCCATGGTAACCCATGTAATTCTGTGTCCGAGCCTGGTTCTGATTCCAGAGCAGATAGGTCCATGTGCCCTACCCTGTGATGAGCAGCACATCACCAGAAACAACACGTATGGGAAGTGGGTGGTCACAACTGCTGCCACAATGACCACTATGAAAGGACACTTATCTATTGCTGTTTTCCCCTGCCAATGTCATGGTTCTAGACACCTCTTCACAACTTGTCCATTCAAGAATCAGTTACTGTGATGAAGAATGAGAGTAAATGTTTTCTTTCCAACATAGACAGCCTGTTAGTAATCAACAAACAAGAGGTTGAAAGCATGAGCAACAATACATGATAAAAATCACTTCGATTATTTAACCACCACTCTAACTTACCATGTATCATGGATTGTTGGGAACACTGTCATTCCCAGGATCACAGAGATGAAGCTATAATATTCACTCAAGTCCCAGTACTTCAGTGCCCATATTTAACCACCAGATAATAATCTCAAAATCATAAGGCAATACACATACCAAATACTAAATAACCTTTTAAAAAAATACCTTTCAAAAAAATGTTATCTTGAATGAATAATCACCACAACCCCTACCCCAATATTCTTGTTAATGCCCATTTTGGACCTGCCAGTCCTGAAGTACCTGATTGGCTCTTTATGTAAGTGCATCGGAGCACGTAATGGCCAGCATTAGAGCCAGGAATAGACCCTGATCAGCCTGGGATATTGCCTCTGTATATAGTCAAATACTCCTTCACGGCAATACCCAACAGATACTATCAATTCACAATAAGGTCAGTCATCTTAAAGATGACAACATGGTATTCATGAGGTCATCTAACAAGGTGGTCATCAAATCAGGACACTTTTTGTTCGTCCTAAACTGTCTCCCTCTGCCGATACTGCAGGCAAACCAATGATAGCCATTCATGGTTACTGGTTTTCTCATCATCTGCCAGATAGAGATTGATTGCAGAAATTATATTTGTGCTTCATTGCATTTTCGGAACTTTCATATTCCTGGATGGATTTTCATCTAAGCTTTTTTTTTCAAGGAGAAGTACCACATTGAGAGGTTATAAAATGTTACTGTATTGCAAGACGTTTGAAAAACGGCAGAAAAGATTTGAACTGTCCATGGCATAAAAGTGTTATCATAGCTTCAATACTTTACCGAATACAACTTATCACAGGTCCTCTTCTCCCATGTTAAACATGCCTTGTATATCAGCAGCCTGTTAATGGATCTTGAATCTCTGATTGTTACAAGTTAAGAGTCATTGACATTTCTGGAATTAGTATAAGGACCTCCAAAACTAAGATTTGAAACCTGCCATAATGAATAACAAGAACATCTGAGTTCTAAGTTAGAACATTCAGATATCACCCTGGCTGCTAATCATCTGACGACAACTTGGTCATTTCATCTAGCAATGATCATAAAATACCCAATGCAGGATCCTACTCATACCCCTTGATTATATGGTTCTACTATCAGATTCCAGGGCAGAATAAGGCCCAGTTACCCTATGAACTAAATGAGGGGAGGGTGGTTACAGTCAAGGACATATCTGCCATCAAGTTCAAAATTAAGGAGATCTTTGAGGATTACTCCTGCAGCATTCAAATCAAGGGACCTCTAAATCTTCAGCTTTGTACATTATGGTCATGACAAGGACCCTATGACTTTCATGCTTAAGTAGAAACAGTCATAGTCCCCCATCAGTGTGGACTGATGCTCATGCCATCAACCACTGGTTTGCCTGGCAGTATTGATTGTTTACAGGCCACCATGACATGGCTGGAATATGAAATAAAACAACAACATCATTCTCAACAATGTCTCCCAAAGACGTAGTCTTGTCCGAGTTCATCTCAAGACATACAGTTTGAATTCTTCAATACCCTGGTCTGCCTGTTGACACACATTCCTCCAACCTAATACATCTCCTGATCCACGTATCTCATTAGCTGCTTCCCAGCACTACCATAGCCCAGATTAATGCTACTGCGCTAATTATCCACATCAATAATCTCTGCAGACTGGTAATTAACAACAACTTATTCCAGTTCGTTTAACCCTGTCCCCCTCATGGTCCAGTGATGCCATAGTTTCCTCGAGATCACTTCATCAGCCTTATTGACCACAAATTCCCACTTGATGAAAAATGTCATTGCACCTTGATGATTTAAGGCGAGGAATGTGAAGGTTGACATAAATTAATGTCTAACTGTAGATGACAAGAGGCATTCCATCAAATCTGGGCTTAACTCACAGGTCTACCAAGCAGGCTTTTCAGTCCATTGCACACAAACAAACAAGCTGAGGCAATGATCAAAATAAAGGATAAAATAACTAATTAATTCATAAATAATATTTTAAAAAGACATTGCTAAATTTTATCTGCAAACATTCATGTTAATCAACTATCCAGTAATAGGAAATTACTGATTATGACATATCTATCAAACAGTAAAATATGAAACATGAAATTCTAAAGGTTGAACAAATACAGTGCTAAATAAGATACTGTTAATTATTTGTCTGTAGCTGACGGCATTCGGGGTAGAAAATGTATATATTTAATGTCTCTTCATCACTTAAAAATGTTGGTATCTGGTCTTTGAAATGACCTCATGCACAAAACAAGTAAATGCACAAATGTTTTATTGAGCCAATCCTCCTTCAGTTTCCATTCATGTCATAAGCGATCAGTTTAGAAAATATGTAAAAATATTTTTGCACTAACGTTCCACCAAGTACTGATGAAATCTTATTTTTGTATGAAAGAAAGCAATATAACTGTTTTCACAATGTATCCATATTAATACTGGAATTGTTTGTTACAGGTCTGTTTCCACTGGACCCCGAGCTATGCGTCTTGTGGGTGACGAGTGATGTGCTGATGTGCACCGCTTCCATCTGGCACATGTGCACAATGTCCATGGATCGCTTCTTCACACTGAAATACCCCATGAGATACGGCCGAAATAAGACCAAGACAATGGTGCTAATGAAGATATTTTTTGTGTGGGTTGTATCCATTGCAGTCAGCAGCCCCATCTGCATACATGGATTTATTGACACCTCTGTGGTCTATCATGATGGATTGTGTGTGCCCACGCTGAAAAACTTCGTAATTTATGGCTCAATCTTCGCTTTCTACATTCCCCTTTTAATAATGATTGCAACGTATGTGTTGACAATTCGAATATTGTGGAAAAATCAGCGTCTGATGAAGAGAATAGAAAGGTCAGACATGCGTCCCCGCCTTACCCATTTAAATCAGGATTACAATCTGTCAATCCCACGTCTGCTAACATCCACCCATGATGCATCTGCTTCAAGGCGTGTCAGTTTCCCTGACAGCTTCAAGTTCAATACCTCATACCTTATGCCTCCAAGACGTTCCTTGCCAAAACCAACTCAGTCTTCCAGCCCCACACAAAGTCCTGAAGCTTCGGAGACAGAGGATGATGAACTGGACCCCAAGAGCTCCACACAGCTCCTTGATAAAAGATCCCAGTCCTACAAGTCGCTTTGTCGCCATGGAGAGGACAACCTAATGCTCAGATCTCGTTCTAAGGAATCCATCTACAACCCTTCATTTGAAGCTTCTGATGAAGATTGTACCATCGACAAAACAGAAAGGAAAATTAGATGTGCTCGGAACTTTTTACAAGTTCCATCTTTGCCGTTTAGTCGACACGGTCGAGGACAAACTCTCTACAATGCTGTATCTGACACCAAACTAGACAGTCGTAGCAAACCTAGCACTCAACCAAGGGCACTGTTCCATCGTAGTGCCACGGGACTGGATAATTCCGTGGATTACAAGACCCGGGAATGGGATAAGAGGTTCTTCCAGATCCAACAGGAAATGGATCAGTGTCTCCAGGATGCAGAAAAGGAGAAATTCCGGAGAACCGACAAACCTGAGCTAATATTCTGTGAGGATTTTGTTCGTTATTCCCTGAAGCCCTTGTGTCATTCTGCTCCCAATACCCCGCTGAGGTCAGGGTTCACATCCGACTCAGGAGACTCACTCGATGACAAGGATACTAAATCTACGTCGTCTAGTTCGGACATTATAACTATACACTTGAAATCACCTAAAAAATCCAAAACTTCTAGCCCCAAAAGCCTAACACCAAGAAGCCAAAGTCCACAATCCCCTCAAAGCCCCAATGGTGGGTTGCTCCGTGATATGATCAGCAATCCTCCGACGGATCTACTTTCTCCTGAGGAGGAACACGTTATGAGTGAATCAGCCGATAACAGCGCAGCAGACAGTGACGACCAGCAAGGAATGAGATTAAAACAGCGGAATAAATTCAAGAAAAGTTTCAGAAACACCCTTCGTATAAAAACACGGCCAGTGATAAAACACTTATTATCCAAGAAGACTGCTACAAACGAGAGAAAAGCCTCTAAGGTTCTAGGGATCATATTTATTGTGTTTGTATTTTTGTGGACGCCATTCTTTATCGTGAATATACTGTCAGTAACGTGTGAGCCCTGCATGGAGAGTGTGACAGCCACCATGATGTCTGTGTTTCTGTGGATGGGCTATGCGGCCTCTCTTGCCAACCCAATCATATACACCATGTTCAATACAGCTTTCAGGCGGACATTCATCCGGATACTGACATGTAAGTTGAAGAGGCGCACCTCCAAGTACGCCGAGACTGCATTCATGAGTTACACCACTATGATGAACACAGACAGAAGGAATACAATGACTGTGCTCATCAAAGACGATTCCAGATGACTGAGATAGGAACTTAGGTGTAAGGCTCAATCAAGGCATCTCAACAGATGCTCTACTTCAACTGCTTATCTTCTTTGTCTCTTAAACCATGCTGGGATTCATCTTAGACTGCAAGATAGGTCCTCATTGAGTGCAACTTGAAATTATCACACTTGTATTTTCTTAACTTCAGGGGCATTTTACTTTGCAATAATGCAAAAATGTAAACTAAGCATTAAATCCCAAATAAATCCTCTTACTCTTAATTGATCCAGTTGTCCGTGAAACAAGTCATCTTTGCAAAGCCAGACCATTAGTTGCAACTACTGGGAAGATAAGAGTAACATCCAAATGTATCATTCCAATTTGGGAACATTTACTGACATTTCCCCTCACTACCAAACATCAACTCTGAGACAGTCCAGATTAATCCCTTCAGCTTCAATTAAAAATGCCATAAATAATCAAAATACAAGTACCAAACTTGAAATTCTAGTTAACAAACATGGATTTCTAAATATTCTAACCTCGGTAATCGGTTATCGTGAATGGTATTTTGAATATTTGGAATATTTATGGTATTTCAAAAGATTTGCATTTGTGCCACCAAAAAAAGTAAAAATGTGTTTAGATTCTGAACTGTTTGTGGATGTCTTGAGAAGTATCATCAATTGGTTGTTTATTTAACATTGTAAAGTATCTGTTGAAAGTCCTTTTGATCAAACAAATTGCTGTGAAAACTTTCTACTAATTTGTCATGCTTCATTGTTGATTTTTACATTTATATCCATTGTTTTTTGTTACATATTGCTTGTTGCTATTTATTCAATAACATCTACACGAACGATCACATGATGGCTACATCACAATGAAAAGATATACATCATCCAATAATCCTGTGAAACTTTTTAATTCAAATTTTAGGAAATGTTACCATGGTTATTACAAAAATAGATTATTTTTGGATCATAGGAAATATTTACATCAAATGTGTTATCATTGTACATACTTAGTGATATTTTGTTATTTCTGATGTGTACTCGATATTGTCTGTTGTAATTTAATAATGTGCCAAGCGTAACTCTATCAATTATATCTTGCAATTTGATAATTGGAAAAAATAAATGTATTTTCTTGTCAAAACATATTTGCAATGGTTGTTTAATGTAAGTCAGATGAAGACAGAAGGACACCATCCCTTCCTTAGCTTTTCTATTGCTAAAATACCCATGAAGATGCGGGTAAGAATTGGTCTTCAGAGGCAACTAATGGGATCAGGTGGTCAGGTTCACTGACTTTTGTCCCTCCTACTGACCAATCAGATTCCACCTCTCATATCGCTTGAATTTGCTTCAAACAAAATGCCAGCGATCAGTCAAGGCGATCTGAGTGATAATATATTGTGATAAAACGATTCTTACTTTGTGAAGTGCATCAAATCACTTGAGCACCTCCATTAAAAACATGAAAAGATTTAGAAAATATCTGTTGACTCCAAGTTGGTGGTACATATGCTTTGCAAATCCTGCAATCATACGAAATCTGCACGACAGTTTACGAACCAGATATCAATTTCATTACATGATTTTGATTGGACTATGCATAGACTTGTTTGTCCAGCCAAAATAGAACTCCATCATCCCAGCCTAGTTCGGCAAGGGTGGAAACTGGACTCAATCAACTCCCCTGCCTCAGGAAGATGACTTGGTTGATGCATGTTATCATATCCCAATTGTGTAGATTGATGTTCATGGTATCAATCAGTGGATTGTCTGGTCCAGACCCGATTATTTACAGACTGCTGTCATATAGCTAGAATATTGGTGAAAGCAGTGTTGAAGAACTTACAAACAAAAACATAAATGGGATAAGGGCTCACTTATACCCCCTGACTTCGACTCCAACATATTTCTAAGTTCAAAACATGAAAAAAGATCACATCTTTTTCAGAAAATACACATATCAAAATAAAACTTTGCACTGCACCTTTCCTATTAGTATAAAACGTGTTTCTTAAATTTGAAAACAATCCATTAAGAATTTTTTAGGTTATAGGTCGCTGATTGAAGTAAAAATATTCTTATACAAAATATGAAAAATAGCTGGGTTGTTTTTTTTAGGAAAATCCAAATATTTAACACAAACTTTGCACTGCACCTTTCCTATTAGTATAGAAAGTGTCCACCAAGTTGGGAAAGAATCTATGCAGTAGTTTTCAATGCGGCATAATTTGTCTCATATCGTTTTCAATTACTGCAGAATCCACATAAGCTGAGCCAACAGACCAATATCAGCAGCAATTAGTGAAGTGGTGAGCGTACAGGCGTATTTTGGTGGCGATTTGTGATTTTCAACTGATAAATGATAACTGATGGCTTGATAACTGGTAACCCCATACCAAGGCAATAATCAATCACCCTGTGCCGATGCAATGGTCGATTGTCAATCAATAGTGGAGCAAAAATATTAATTGATATCAAATGCTTCTTCCAAATACACTTCAAACATTCATAAAATCTAACTACAGCAATCATAAACACATTCATCATCATTATGCAACTTATCAAGCATTAAAATGTAAAGAAAACAGGTATTCGACTGCAATTTCTAGTGATATACACAATATTAGTAACTGACTAAATTTGACACCAAATTTATTTCTATCAAACTGATGGTAAGCAATAATCAAGAAGGGAATACATCCAATTACAAATGCAACTATTAGCTTGTTGAGATAATTGTCTCAGATCCTACTGTCTGTCAAAGTCAGCCCCAATCTAAAGCACCAAGTATTTAACACATTTAACAATTGTGTGATCATTTTTTTTCTGTTTTTAAATGCATTCAACTGGGACTTGATATATAACAAGGCCAGCCAGCAACTGGGACTTGATATATAACAAGGTCAGCCAGCAACTGGGACTTGATATATAACAAGGCCAGCCAGCAACTGGGACTTGATATATAACAAGGTCAGCCAGCAACTGGGACTTGATATATAACAAGGCCAGCCAGCAACTGGGACTTGATATATAACAAGGCCAGCCAGCAACTGGGACTTCATATATAACAAGGCCAGCCAGCAACTGGGACTTCATATATAACAAGGCCAGCCAGCAACTGGGACTTGATATATAACAAGGTCAGCCAGCAACTGGGACTTGATATATAACAAGGCCAGCCAGCAACTGGGACTTGATATATAACAAGGCCAGCCAGCAACAGGGACTTGATATATAACAAGGCCAGCCAGCAACTGGGACTTGATATATAACAAGGCCAGCCAGCAACTGGGACTTCATATATAACAAGGCCAGCCAGCAACTGGGACTTCATATATAACAAGGCCAGCCAGCAACTGGGACTTCATATATAACAAGGCCAGTCAGCAACTGGGACTTGATTTATAACAAGGCCAGCCAGCAACTGGGACTTGATATATAACAAGGTCAGCCAGCAACTGGGACTTGATATATAACAAGGCCAGCCAGCAACTGGGACTTGATATATAACAAAGCCAGCCAGCAACTGGGACTTGATATATAACAAGGCCAGTCAGCAACTGGGACTTGATATATAACAAGGCCAGTCAGCAACTGGGACTTGATATATAACAAGGCCAGCCAGCAAATGGGACTAGATATATAACAAGGTAAGCCAGCAAGCAAAGGATTCAAACCTCACATTTCAAAATTCAATTTCATTTTCATTTGAGTCTTCATATCAACTGAAATAGATTATTACACACAAAAAAGGGTTACATTAAGAACATGTATCTCCTGAGTAATCAGAGAATAAAATATTCTTACACATTTCTTTTCAAAGTATGCATTGCATGGTATCAGTGTTTCTCTATAATGGGAGATTGATGCTAGTTTTTCCTAAGGAAGCAATCATGCCAACACCATAAAGATACGTATGTAGTACAAGACTCTCCATAAACACACAGCACGAGGCCTTCAGGGTGATAACATCTTTGAAAACAGGATACTTGCCCACTTGGAGCATGAAATACCACTACAACTGTGACATCTCCCTGCTATGACATGTAGCTTGCAGCTGAACATTAAGATAGCTTTCACTAATCACATACTGGAAGCTCATTCTGTTATCTTCAATAAACTATTCTTTCATGTTCTCAAAATGTGAATTCTGAATTATTGGAAATGTCAACATGATTCCTGTGAATATGTTCCAAAAGTAAATAAATGAAATCGAGAGTCTATTTAGAAACAAAAAAAACAACATTAATAGCAATAGATGATTCTTGATATCTTTGTGTCATGTTGTGTTCTTAATTTCCTAAAGAGCTAGTTTTTCATTCAAACTAAATGGAAGCATAAAGACTCATTGGAAAATGTAAAATGTCATGCAGAATTGTCAATTATTTTTCAAGAATCCTAAAAATGGTTCCCCCACTTGAAACAGGCTCAAATCCAACAGTATTTTCATTCAAGGCCTATAAAAACCATGCAAACAGGTCCATTTGGTTTCATAAGCAATTACACAACCTTTCTACCTGGAACCCTGTTTCTATATGCTGATGCTATGACTTTATGTGGAACAATTTCAAACAGGCGCAACAATAATGCTTCTTGGCTCATTGCCAAATAGGGTGTCATCATCGTTATGACGATCAAAATACACTAACAACATACTGGTAGCCTTGGAAAATAATTGATAACCACATTTGGGTAAACTTCAAGAGAAGCAAAACTAATACACTCTAATACAAACGAGGTCATTTAAAATTCGCTTTCACCAGGCTGTGATGAATCCATCTTCCTCCTGAACTACGTGAGACAATTTCTGATGGAACTGGCAGGAGGTCATCTTGTTCCTTGTGTGAAATATTGTCTCTAGAGGCATGACAGGAAATGAAAAAATGCTATTGATAATGTTGAGCATTAAATCTCCTGCCTATCTGGCCATGCAGGATGAGCCTGTTGTATGCACCTGTTTTTAACGCTGAGCAGTATCGAGCAGACGCAATGAGATTGTGGCAGCCATTTGCAAAAAGAAACACCTGACATTTCTATCTTCAAACGACTTCAAATTCATGAATTTTTAACGATAGAAATGCTTTCATATTACTTTTGGAGCCTAACAACCAACCTCTTATCATAACACTGTTCGGAGTCACAAAGCAGATAACAATAATTATTTGATATTATGAAAAGTAATACAATAAAATACAACTAACTCCTCAGATAAACATCATTACAAAACAACCAAATCAGCTAGCATGATTAGTTACATGTAAAATATGGAACTATAACAAACTGTTCTTGAAGGTATCCAAGCCACAGAGGCTTGACACAATGCTGTCCATTTGCTTACAATGTCACTGAAGAACATAGAACTGCCACTTACAAACCTCGAACACTGGTCTTGAATTATTGCACCCCACCCTGTTTTTGACATCTCAGCCAGGTATCAAACTACCAAAATCCAAATATTGTTTCTGAAAAAATATCTACACCTATATTCAAGGTGAGTGATGTCTTCATCCTGGTCACCAATGCTGCTCCCATACTCAAAGTCAGACTTACCCAAGTCACAGTGCTAAGATAGCTTAGTGCTACACCCATACTCATAGGCCGATTTACCCAAGTCACAGTGCTAAGATAGCTTAGTGCTACACCCATACTCATAGGCCGATTTACCCAAGTCACAGTGCTAAGATAGCTTAGTGCTACACCCATACTCAAAGTCAGATTTACCCAAGTCACAGTGCTAAGATAGCTTAGTGCTACACCCATACTCAAAGTCAGATTTACCCAAGTCACAGTGCTAAGATAGCTTAGTGCTACACCCATACTCAAAGTCAGACTTACCCAAGTCACAGTGCTAAGATAGTTTAGTGCTACTCCCATACTCAAAGTCAGACTTACCCAAGTCACAGTGCTAAGATAGCTTAGTGCTACACCCATACTCAGACTTCAATTCTGTGCTCGAAAATCTCTTTCTCTACAAAGACCGATATGGAAACTGATCCTGCTTGGCTAGTGCAAAATTGTTTCGCAATTTATATCTCCAAAGTTGCCAAAACTTGTAAAATGCCTTAGGTTTGTCGTTAGAAGCTGATTTTCAGAATATGAGATTATTCTTTTGATAATGATAGCAATTATCCCAGTAGTTTCTCCAGATTCCCAATGGTTAATTCTGACTCGATCACCGAATGAAAAGGGTGACGCTATGTTTGTTTATAAACACTGAAAGTAGTCCCTACTTAACCTTTGATATTTGCATCTCTATCCGCTTATAACCCCAATGGATATCGTTTTTATCTGTTGGCTTTATCCTGCCAAGAAACCTATCCATTATATGATAAAGCAATATTATCCACCTAAGTTTTCTAGATCATCAGCTGTAGGGGTGTCTTATTGGAAATACATGAACTCAGGCTCTGAAACAAGCATGTTTATCTACTTACCAAGGTGTGGTGTTTCAAGTACTGGTCAATACCATTCACAAACCCACAAGTATCAACTAAACACCATC